CAGGTCAGTAGACGTTTGTGACGATGCTGAAAGCATGTGTTGGTAACGAACAGTCGGTTCTATTCAGCAAACTGCAGCATTCTCTCGCCACTGTCGGATCGAGAGCCAAGCCCAAAACGACCAATAAGCTGGCTGTTTGACGGGTCACCGGGCCCAGTACGACCATTCCAGTCCCCGGCGACAACTAACAGATCACGACGAGGAAGTCTTTCAACTAGCTCCCATAGCTGCGAGTAGAAATATTCCTTATCGTGCTGTTCGGCCGCTGATGTTAGTGCATACGCAGAGACGACAGAAGTGTTCGTAAAATTACCTTTCAGTCGTAGGCAAGCCGTCCGGTCGTTGACTGGCTCCCAGGCCAGTAGTGCACGGTTTGCTTGTTCCGAGAGGGCAATAGCCGCACCGTGTCTACCAGATGAGTCGCGTGGGCCACTGTGATACAGGACGAGGTGGGAATCGACTCCCCGACTCGGGCGCCCGATTTGGGGAGTCGGACTTCCAACAGACCGTAGACATGTACGTGAGATTTATGGAAACTGCGCACCGTCAGACTTTGGGTAACAGGTTCCAGAAGTGTTCGAACATCCCAGCATCCACTACCAAGAGTCCGTCTCCGGTTGACTAGTCCAGTTTGCATACTATTCGCCCGCACCACTGGACAGGAGTGGTGGAGCGCGTCGGTTCCCGCGAACGACGTAGCATGGGTCGTAGTATCGTAAGTGGACATATTCATGAGGCTTCTTGGGGATTTTGAAGACAGGCAGGGTTGTCTCCTCTAGCCCTTTGGTTCAATTACCTAACCACAAGGCAGTAGTGGCAAGCAAACCTATTTAATGGCGGTTTACGCTCGCCATGTCGCAGTGCCGTCATTGGGACCTGCGGCATATTGTAAGGCAGTCAGTGCGACAGACCTCAGCCCCCGCGCTCGTGGTAACACAGTCGCTGCTATTCCGCGACTGTTTATTCGTCAGACCTGGGAGCCTGCTTAGTTAGCAGCTAACCTTCGCTGAAGGTCGTTCCACTATCCGAAACCTGTGGACGCGCCCGGTAGCCAGCAGCTAGGCTAATGGGTAACCCGCCTTTCTTGGTACGCATTGCCTTAACAGTCATGGTCGCTTGTTGCATTAGGACTGCGTGGGTAGGTTCACTTTGGCATATGTAAACACAATATCATATTCACAGCTAGTACAAAAAAACCGGTCTTAACCTCCATGTACTAGAAATGCCTTTCTCAAAAGCAGCTTCACATCACACTTCCCACGCTGTCCTTTCACACAGCTATAATTCCAAACAGTAAATTTTGCAGGGATAATTTATTGGACTTACGTTCACAGTGTTCGAGAAATTGTATGCAATCAGTTAGAACGGCGTCTCGTATCATAATCATGTGCTTGGCCATGTTTTCGATCAGTGACAAGAAGCACCGTTTGGCATAGTACCTAAAAGGGAATGAGATGGGAGCTTTACGCCTGAAAGCTTAACGTATGTCTATGCTTTTGTGTGGAAATTCTCCATTATATAAACATGAAGCTGTGATTCTCTGTAACAGCTTATCGTACAACGATGAACATAGCTAAATAATAAAAATTTGTAGCAATTTGTTTGTACTATACAACCTCGTAGAAAAGACATTTACCCAGTGGGAAACACCGTAGGAAGGATAAAATTTTGCCAAAAATATCAGTATGACTTAGTTACTGGAAGGAGTCAAATGAACTGGAAGCGCGTACTTGAGGAAGACCGAACATAAAATTGTGCATATGTATTCACAGTAAAATGACAAATCGTAAAAAACGTGGGGTTAAACCTTAGGAAAAGTACCTCTGGACCAAATTCGTTCGACCTTACCTAGAATATGACATACAGAAGTGACGATCATGGTTCACAAAAGACAAGATGTGTCTCGAAAAGGGGCAGCATCGAGCGACAAATCCAGTGTGAGATGCATAAATCCAATCTTACATAGAAATAATTAAATGCCAAACTTTATTCCTTCTGTATTACAGGCAGGTAAGAGAAGGTTTTGTCTTAGTTTACAAGATAATGCAGGCCTTGAGGAAAGATTGCCTTGTGAGGACATGTTTCATTGGCACCTCCCGCCTCATCTTCATGGACAAGTAATGAAACTGCGCACGAAAACGTCTAAGCTTAATATCCGCTCTAAACTCCTCACGCAACGGGCCATAGAATAATGGAATAACCTCCCGCAATCAATCGTGGAGGCGCTGACCCTACAGTTCTTCAAGAAACGCTGGGAAAATTATACGTGTTCCTTGCTGTGCCTAGACAGTGTGAACTCGAACTACTACCACATGAACTCCAGAAAAGTATTATTTGCAAAAACACTGCTACTTACAGTTGGTTAGTACTATTTTAAAGGTGCCAATTTTTAAGCGTGTCTGTACAAGTGTATATGACTCACCGGTATGTAAACAATAGGGTTTTTAAATAGATTACCTAGTACCCTCACCCACTGAACAAAAGAATACAAATGCTGCTACTGGTTGTAGGCTCTTGAGTATGTTGAGATTAAGGAGGTTCTAGACGCAAATATAAAACCAAAATATCAGTTGGCCTCCTCAGCTTGCTTGTGAAGTAACTCTAAAAGATATTTTAAGAGAAGCTTTCGAAACGGGCTTGCTAATTTGTACATATTAACTGTAAACCAAGGTTAACCGAATGAAAAACTAGAATTTTAATAAACAAAACGTTAATTTCAAACTTAGCTTATCTACATAAAATCAAAGTGAGCTGCTGATGCATGCTGGAGGAATGGTTCTTTGAAGGTACTTTGCTAAAGTGCAACTGAATGCGTTGCTGAAAGAAGCACAGTTTACACCGCCCTCTAGTGACACATTCTCATTGCCAAATGGCCCTGCAACACTTTTTGAGTTAATATTTTAATGCAACTGACAGTTTAACTGTTTTTTTAAAGATGTCCATCGGTTACGTTACACCAGGTGGGCGTAGGGACGGTGATAGAAGTATACTTGCGCCGTATTTTATACACGCTCTCTTCCTCTAGCACCTGGGCCCGTTGTCAACAACAAGTCAAGACGACGGGAAACGGGGTAGGGCGCAGGTGCCGAGCGTAGCGGGAAACTGCACCTAGGTGTGCCACCACACCCTATTCCCATTTTCGGCCTCCTTTATCGGTACGCACCATCAATAACGCCGACCGTGCCCCGCAAAGCCCTCACGTTGACCCAGCGCATTTACCGTATGACAATTTTATAACAACTAGTGTAAAGGAGGATTAACACACTTAAATCTTTTAAAATCCACTGAAATTCATCTCAGAATGGTATATTCCAGAGTTTATGTTTCTGAATTGTTCAAAGCTTTCAAATATGCTAAAATTCTCCGCATACCAGGTGTCGGTGCCAAGTTTCTTGTGATATGGTTCGAGACTCTTGATAACTCGGCTGATGCCGAAATCGTAGTTGCCTCGAGCACAGTACAGTGTGCCAATGACCAGGTTGACAATGCATAGATGGAATATTTTGCGATCAGGGTCCTCGTAGGCAACGGCCTCTTCTTCTTTCTCAATCTTTCGCATGAGCTCTTCGGCGTCTTCATTCTCACTAGTCATGATGTAGGTCACACAAAGATTTGCCATTATTACAGCGCTTATGCCAAGAAGATTGTCAAAATGCTTTTTCACAATTGGTTCGTAGAATTCACTAGCTTCTTTATACTTGTTCTCTTGCATAAAGAGGACATGAGCAACGTTCAGCTTCCACTTTTCATGATCGTTGCAGAACTCCACCGATTTTCGGAATATGCGTTCCACCTGGAGGAATAAATAAAACATCCTAAATAATAATCTACTCAAAAGTATTCAGTAGGTTATACATTTTGGGTTTCGGTGATTGGTCATACCTGCTGGTAATTCTGCATGTCCCAGTAGATTTTGGCCTGTTGCATTAGGACCGGAATGTACTTTTCGAGAGCCGCATCATACTCGCAAACCGCCACTTTAACTGCTTCATCGTCATGTGCCTGTCGAGCCTCCTGAACACGTTTTGTTAAGCATCGTAGCTGCTCTGTGCTCTTCGCCGCCATTTGATCAAGTCGACTAGAACAAAGTAAGAGTACGCTCAGTCGAAGGAAACAGAAGAGAAGCGGCGTTGATCCCCTGTGAGGAGTCATAAACTCTTACCTGTATGCATCCTGTGGGGCTGTCTGACGCATTATAACTGCCTCAATGAAGTCATACAGATCGGGTGTAAGGTATTCGTAGGCGAGAGCGGCGTTTTCGGCCAGAACGTCCGCAGCGAGGTCAAAATATTCGTATTTAATGTATAGGAGAAGGAGATTGGCAAAGGTTTCTCGTGGAAAAGTCTCCTGTTGAAGAAGAAACTGGAGTTTATGAAAGCCGCCGGCAGGATTTGTCTCCATATTCATGAGCGCCTGATTATGCAATGATATATGATCCAGTTCTTCCTCCGAGCGCGGCGGCATATCAGTTAGGGCCTCGCAGGCGGCTTGGAAGTTAGAGAGGTTGTATTCAATTGCAGCCTGGGCGTAAGGGAGCATTTTAGTCGCATGCAAACCGGAACAGCGGGAAGAGAATTTAAGGACTGCGCGAAAGTTTACTAAAAAGTAGAGGAAAGTCCTTGAGTGCGAAGAGCACTGCTCAACAATGCCCACCTACTTAAGATAATATGATATTAGTTTAAGCAGATAACCTGGTTTAATAAATGATATCTCTGTCTAAAACTTCGCTTCATGCAAATGAGTGAAACCAATATTGTATCAAAGAAACAAAGAAAGATAAAATATCAAAGGTGAAATACACCCCGGAGTGTCATTCGTCATAACTATTCACATTTTTAGCAAAATACAAGTCTATTCTTGAGGAAGGTACTTACCAGCTAACTAAAGGTTCCCAATTACGTTATTTTATTAGAAAGCCTTTTCTGGACATGTAGCTTATATGGTTGATTAGTAGATATGCTAA